CTGCTTGCTAAACTTTTCAGCCGAATAAAATTGGTGCCTTCAAGCCTGGAGTTAGATCATTGAATGGCAACTCATTTTTTGTTTCATTTCCGGAGAATTTTTGCTCGTTAAATTTATTAATTTTAAATTTTAGTAATGCTATTTTGTGACTGAGGGCTTTTTGAAATGCTTTACATTTCGTAAGCATTCCTTCGATTTCATCTTTCGTTTTTCTTCTACAGGCAATGTTCTTGGCAAATACTATTTTAATAGAAGCATTCTCTAGGCCAAGACGTCTTGACCTGATTTTCCAGAACTGCATCTGTTTCTTTAAAACTGAATTTTCTTTTTTTAGCCTAATATTTTAATTTTTTAGTGAATTATCCTTTTTTATGTTGGGTATTTCAAACTTTTCTACAAAAATATTTTAATTTTGGTCATAAACCATTATTTGAGCTTCGTGACCTATATTTCGCATAATCTCAGCTTCATTTTCGTCATATTGCATTGTTTCAGCTACGTGACCAATATTTTGCATTATTTTAGGTTTGTTTCTTTGTTGCAATATTTCAGCATCAGAATCATTGCCTTTTGAAATTATTTCCCTTCCATACAACCCAACCCCATAATTACTAATTTTACTCTGTTCAACTGAGAGATAAATAGGGTCAAACCCTAGCTCTTCAGTAGGAATACTACATTTCCTCAGCTTATTGCCTAGGAAACATACTGGCTTAAAGTGCCTTCTACAGGCCAACGATCTAGCCGTTACTCTTTTTTTTCTTAAATTGGCTTGCTTATGGCCTTCGCAGTTTTCAACAACGCAAGTTCTGAAAAAAAGAAGTTATAAAATATAAAAGTTAATAATATTGAAAATTTATAAAAGTACAATAAAAAACAACAGAGAAACGCTATAGTCGATTTCCCATCGACTATCAGATAGCGACTATCAGATTATTTATGACCACTAATGGTCCGAATTGAACAATTTTTAGCATGTAGATGGACACAGATACTCAGAACAAAGTTCGGCTTTCAAAAATATTTAAAAATGTGGGCGTTAGAGTGGGCGTGGCGTCTTTGCTGAAATAAACTTGCGCTGTCCCAGAGCCTCAAGAATCAGCATGCCAAATCCCAACTTTCTAGGTTATACACTGGTCGGCATAAGTATTTTGACAAAACAAAAGTTAAATATACTCATAATTTGAGCTTACTTTTTGTAAACTTTGGCATCAACGAAAAGGTAATTTAAATGCCGTTTGAGCGATAGAATACATTTCTTAACCCATTCAGTACTTATTGAAATGGACGAATTTGTGTGAAAATCTTCTTTTTAAACTATTTTTGGATGCAAAAAGTTTCTTCAAGCTGCAAAAATAAATTTTCAAGAAATCAGTTTGCTTACATTTTTTATGATTTTTTTAAAGTGCTTAGAAACATGCATTTAAGCCATATTTTTCTTTTTTTCATACAAATTGTCACCTTCAAAGAATCACTTATGCCGACCAGTGTAGTTTGCGGATTCGGATGGACAGGCAGACGTCGACTCGCTAGTAATCCTGATTAAGAATATATATACTTTATGGAAAGGCTTCCATTTACTTTCCGACAAATCTAGTGCACCCGTATATCAAAGCTTTTCTATTAATTGCGAGTCCACCACACATTTCGCCTGATAGGTACAGTCTCCGTTTCTCACAAGTATCGAGTGAATTATTTTGTAATCAGCGATCTTTTGGTAACTAAAGGTAAATTAAGTATAGCTCCTGTCAATACCGAGAATTAAATAATTATTTTTTTTTAGAAAAAATGTGTCGAAATTCTCATTGTACTAAAGAAGAAACTCGATTGGTTCTTAGTCTGAAAAAAGAAGGCAAATCTTTACGAGCCATCGCCAAATTAATGAACAGGTCTCATAGTTTAGTTAAAAATGCATTAGAAAGAAAACCAAGACAGGAAACCCGTGGAAGGCCACTAAAAACAACAAAAACCCTTGACCACTACATAGTAACTTTGAGCAAAAAGGACCCATTTAAGTCATCGAAGGCTATTGCAGCCGAAATTGGGAATTCAGTTAGTGCTCCAACTATCCGAAGACGACTACAAGATGCCAACCTAGCAGAAAGAATTGCCAGAAAAGTCCCACTTACGCGCAAAAAAAATATCACCATGAGGCAAACTTTTGCAAGGGAGCACAATCACTGGGTAGGATGCACCGGGGAGAAAAAATAGAGAAACATATTATTGAGCGATGAAACCAAGATTAATTTGTTTGGAAATGACTGTGAAAGGAATGTTCGACGCCCTAACGGAAAGGAATTCCATCCACGGTTTACAAAAAAAACAGTCAAACATGGAGGTGGCAATATAATGGTATGAGGTTGCTTCTCCTGGTACGGCGTAGGTCCAATTTATCAGACTACGAACAAAATGAATGCTGAAGAGTACAAACCCATATTGGAAACAGTTATGGTACCGTATGCAGAGGAAAATATGCCATTACGTTGGGTATTTCAGCAAGATAATGATCAAAAACACACATCAAGGTTGTTATCTAAATTTTTCGAGGACCAAAAAGTTGACGTTCTGAAGTGGCCAAGCCAATCCCCCGACCTTAACCCCCTTAAAAACAAGTTGGGAGACTTACAAAAAAATTGGCGAAGCATTCATTTTCAAATAAACAAAAATTATGGGAAGGTGTCCAAAAACTGTGGTATGAGACACCAGTAGAGACCTGCCAGGCTCTTATTAAAAGTATGCCAAAAAGGGTATCAGTAGTGGCCAAAAATAGAAGTGGATCCACTGGATACTAAGTAAGGAAATACTAATTTACCTAAAAAAATAATACAATATGGAAATTAAAATTTTTATTCTTACCAACACATGAAGTGTACCTATTATTATGATCACACTGAAAACGTATCTGAAACACAAAAAAACCCTTTTATGTTATATTATTATCCTATGTTACAGTTAAGTTTATTTTATTAAAAACAAATAGTTTAAGAACCAATAAGAACAAATATTAAGTTTTTTTTTTTATATATTTTTAAAAGTGTATATTTATTCAGGATTAACAGGTATACTCCTACCTATGTGGCAGCTTGAGCAGGTTGTAAAATATTAAGTTTGAAACAATGAATAAATCTTTATTTTGTTACCTTTAAGTCAGAGTTGATGTGTGTACCTATTAATAAGATCAGGTGTGTATGTATGCGGGAAGGATAGATTATTAAACACAACAAATTTTCATATCAAGCTTTCACATTAAATAACGACGTTTTATATTCTTAATATTATATTACCCGATCGAATATAAATTAGTATACACTACTAACTATACTAAATAATTATTTAATAATTAAAAAACATCAACACTTAAAAAAAATTAAAAAAATAAACAATAAAATTATATATTCAAAATGTAAAATGCAAAAAAAGGTAAAAGTAAATTTTAAACTCCATTAAATCTTTAAATCCAAATAAAATAAATAAGGGCCTTCGCGGCGTTGGTGGTGGATAAGGTGGCGGCTGACGAGGCCACGGTGGATCGGCCGATCCTCCGGCGGGAGCTGACCAGGGTGCTCGAGCGGGTGCGCGAGATGGCCCGCATCCTCCTGGCGGCCGGAGGGTCGGCGGAGGTGACACTTTAAAAGAGTTCATGCGCCTAGCAATTGACGATCCGATGAAAGTGGCTGGGCTCCTGGATGCCATCAAGGTGCCCACCCGGAGTCCCAGCAGTTGAAGGCAAATCCAGCACCAGCTGGAGCAAATTCAGAGCCAACTGAACTTACAAAGTCAGCAACAAATAAAAGCAAAGCAAAACAATCTAGTTGTATTACCATATCCAATAAAAAAAATAAATAAACGTTTTCTGAATTTTTTTAAGCATAGTGTAAATGATGGGATAAAAAACATACGCATAATGTCGCCAAGCCGACTTCTGGCTTAATCTTAGTAAAATGCAAAAGTCTGGACAAAATATTCTAAAGCCAATAACCGTTAATAATAAATAACTTTACTTTTAAAATTCAATTCAATTTAAAATTCCAATGGAACGAGTCCTTTTCCAAGAAAATAATTTTTTTTTCTTTTGAATTAAAGTACGATTTTTTCATTTTTGCGCCCTCTTTGGATTTTTATCTTCTGAAACAGATTTGGGTAGAAAAAGTGCAAACAAATCAAATGCTTTCCTTGGCAAAAACATAAAAATGCTTTTAAAAGTAGCCAAAAATGATAAAAGGACATTCTTCAGTTGTCAGGTAAAATTCTCCAACAAAACTAATAAAATATGCTTTGTTTGAAATTCGGCCATATTTATAAAAATACGCAAAAAATGGGATGCTATAAATATTTTTTTGGTTCGGTCCATTTGGTTTATTTATTTTATTATTATTTCGTGGAAGGATGGGGAGATGGGGAAGGGGAGGTGGGGTGAATCGTTTACAACTTACAACAACACAAACACCGTAAGCGTCAGCAAAACGTAAGCCACCGTAAGTGTCAGTAAAAAAAAAAGGGATAGCCTCAGCGTAAGTGTCAGTAAAAAAGGGAGATGCAAGATCTCTCTCTGCTCTCCGAGAGAAAGCGGAACGAAAGAGAACGAAACGTTTAAAAACGCTATATTTTAAATTTCCGTTAAAAGGAAAGGCAAAACAAATTCAAAATCAGCTAGTGTGACCATCGGCACACCGGTGCGAAATGTAGAAAATAAAAATAGCATGGTCTGTCTTTTTCCGATATAAATATATATTTGTATTCCAAAAATATCGATATATTGATATTGTGATATATTTTCACATCACTAACGGGTGGTACTGTTTGTCTCCCTCTCTTACGGACACTTACGTTGGTGCTTTCTCCCTCCTACTGACACTTACGTGGCTCTTACGTTTGTCACTTACGTGACAGCGGCGCACAAAACAGCGATAGTTATCAAATGAAAAAATATCTCGATATAAATTTGTATTTTTATTCAAAAAATATCGATACTGGTACTTTGATGATTTCACATCACCACAGCAAAAACAAAAACAAAAACAACTCGGCGCGGCAAGACACAAACTCGGCGGAGCGCACGAAATCGCGGAAATTCGCCCTCTCTTTCGCTGGAACATAACGGACGCGAGTCGCGGGAAATTGTTCTGCGCTGCGGAAAATCGTCGGTTGGCTATGCCTAATACTATGCCGCGGCGGAAAAGTTAGTGAATGAAAAGTGCGAAAACACGGGGAGATACCGTGAAATACATGGAGTTGGAATAGAAGAAATTCCACGAAATACAAGTGCGGCGATTTGCGTGTGCGGAGTGCCCCGGTGTGTGTGTGAAATTCACGGTAAATAAATAAATAAAATTCGTGTGCACACACACACACACGCCTCGTATTTTTGTATATACACAGCATGTTGTGAAGTTGCGGCGCAAAAAGAAAGCACGCGAATAAAACATAAGAAAATTTAATTACGCCTGCGTCTGGGAAAGTGCGTCGTTCTATTTTGAAATCGATACCAAAATAAAAAATACAAGAAAAAGTAGGTGACAAGCAACAACGACAATGCCCAGCAACAACAACAACCTTGCAGAGAGGTATGTAACGAGAACAACAAATACAAATAATAATAATATAAAGAAAAGGCAAAAGAAAAGTAGTAGTGAAAACGTAACTAGAAAAATACTCGACGAAATTACTACGCAGCAGCAATTTATGCCAAGTTGTTTTTGCTCTCCCCTCCCCACCCTGCCCCTCTCGCCAACCGGCCCCTCTTGTTCCTTTTGTTGTTGTTCCATATCTATCATATCTTCTTCTTCGCTCGCCGCTTTACGTCTCCGTTTTGTGAATGAGCAGCGCAGCCAGCATTATTCGCCCTCTCTTTCGGTCGCACCCGCCCTCTCTGGCGAGCGGAGAGCGGCTGCGCGAAGAGAGGCGGAAAAGGAATGAAAGAATTTGGATTGCTGCCGGTTCCTGTGTTGTTGTTGTTGCACGCACTTTGAAAAGCGGTACAGATAAGTTACCAATTAAGTAAATCCAGCATTAAGTGTCATTGACACATTGTAATGCGATTTGGATCTAAGTATAAATATCAGTTTTCCGTAGTTTATTTTGTACTTTACCTATGAGGCGAAGAAGTGCAGCTAAAAGTATTAAATGTGAATAAATGTCTAAAATTTTGTATTTCGAAATCCGAAAGACAGATAGGATTCACAAAAAATATCCTCTTTTCCATTGCAATTTAAATTTTGATTGTTTTTAAAATTTATACATTAAAGTATTCCACAAAAGTATTTTCAATAAAATGTAAAGGATACAATTTTTGTTCCAAAATAATACTTAATTCTTGTTTTATATTTCTTAAACATTTTTTTACATAATTTAAAATAAAAAATTTTAAAATATACTTTTGAAACTTACAACCAATATTTCTAAACATTATACAAAAATATATTTAGCTCTTATTTGTTAATCGCCAAAACTCGAAAATGTATTAAAGAGGCTTTCCCACATTTTGGTCCCGTCTTCAATTAAAAACCATATTTGTTTTGAACTTTTTTATTATCAATAAATGGTGTGCTTTTTCACCTGTTGATTTGTCCAGGTTTTATGTTAAACTTTTTTTGTTTTTAATTTTTTATTGTGGAAAATGTTGTTTACGCTTAATTTAATGTTTTTAATTAACAACAAAGTTGAAAACCACATAATTTCGTTGGTTGTCCAAAAGTCATGACAGTGCATTTTTGGTTTTATTTGGTTTCCATTAATTTGACACTCTTTATTAGTGTGACCACACTTTGAGTTTTGGAAATGTATACTCAAATAATATGTTGCCGTATATGTTGGTAATAATTGATGTGTTTTTTCCTAATTTAAAAACTGAAAGTTAAAGTTTTATGAAATAAGTCAACAGAAAAAGTTTTTTGTTGGCGGCAACCTACTTTTCAGATAAAATCTCCTAAGAAAACCAATTAGTTTAAAATGTTTTTTGTCGCAGTCCATTGAATATGGTGTATCCATCCTTTTTCCTTAATTTTTTTTTTTTTAAGTATTGTAACTTGGCAAATATTTCATATGAATCAATAAGGTCAGTGTTATTGTAAGTTCTCAAGCAAGAACTTCCATATCGCCTTAGTAAGTCGATTCATACATATACAGTAGTTAAACTGCACTTAAGACAAGTTTTTCGTCGGAGATAAAGCTAAAAGACACACTATAATTAAGAAACTTGGAATTAGAGTTAAAGGCAGAAGATTAATGGACATTAAAGCCAGATACACGGATTAATCGACAACGGGAATAGAACAATGATAATATGAGGGTCTGTAATTGTGCTGGAATGAAACCGAGCGTGGTGCAAAATAGGGAAAACATTGCACAAGTAACTGGGGATGGCGGAGATATTACGGATAGTTGGTCTTGGGGGAGGGAAGTGGGGAGATGTGGGGATGGGTCCGCCTGCTAATTAAAAAGCATAAGCACTAATTGGCGTGCCGCTGCGCTTGTTGTTGCTATTTGCCGTTGGACTGCCCACTTGCTGTGCTCTTATTATATTCGCGTTATTATTGTATAATAAGAGAGAAATGCCATAAAAAATTGGGAGAAGGGGTTAAAACAACAGGCGAGATCGAAACAAAAAAAAAAACGGCCAAGAATTGCGCATTTTTGTATTAATCATGCTATATTTTTGACGAGGCCCGAGGAATGTTGGCCAATGTATTTGTATTTGTGCGTAATTTATTTATTTTTAAATCGAGTTTGCCTGCCCGCCTCTCGTTTGTGTGTGTGCGAGCATAAGTGCGAATGTGTGTGCATGTGCATGTGTGCGTGCTTGCGACAAAAATAAGTCGCCGCAAAAACAAATTGCTGAAATAGAACCAAAATAAAGCAGAAAAACCGAAGAGGGATCTATCGAGGATGAGGCAATGACGGAACCCCCGGGCCAAGTTTGTTTTTGTTGCTTTAGTTTCGTTTTATTATTTTATTTTCGTGCATGTTATTTTTGATATTGGCTTTTTTTATGGTGTGGCAAGAAACCGGAAATTGTTTGTCCGGCTATTGTTGATGACGTATGACCATCCAGTCGTTGGCAATTTTGGCGCATAATTTGGCCACACTAATTAACAGCGGCGAAACGAAAAACAAAAACACACCGACAGCAACAGCAACACCAACACAAATGCCACTACTAAAAACAAAACCAGAAAAAACCGAAACCGAAAAAAGATTTCTAAACGTAGCTGCGCACAGGTTGGAAAGAGAGGGAACGATTGCCGAAAGAGAGTGGCCGGTGATAAGCCCATGTGTGTGTGTGCGAGCCGAGCGAGACAAACAGACAGGTGTCATTGACCTTTTTCGCTGCGAAACAACACACACACACACACAGCCAAACAATTTTGTGTGCACTTTTTTCAGCTGCGTTTGCTTCTCTCCCTCCTCCCCTATCATTCTCTCTCACTCTCTCGCCCTGCTGCTGTTGTTTCTCGCTTTTGTTGTTGCTGCCTTCACTGCTTATGCTGTGAACTGCTTGGCCTTGAACTTAGACGCGCGTCTTCTAATCGCTCCACACTCCCCCTCCCCTCGCTGCCCCGCCCCCCTCCCCACCCACACATGCATGCACGCACTGCGAGTTTATTGCTCCATTGTTGTTGCTGTTGTGTCTGATATTTATTATTATAATCGGAAATATTAAACTATTGGTGTTATAACAACCAAAAAGGAAAAATACTTTTTTGTGGTGGTCTGGGTCAAAACTCATATTTAATTGTGATTTGTTTTTATTTCACAATCAATTCTTTAATAGAACAAATTGATATTAAGAATAAAAGGTTGTTAAGGGATAGCTTCTGAATTCTGTTTATGGAAAGCTTTAAAACCCCAAGTATCCCAAAAGATCCAACTGTTAATTTATTTTTTACCTTTTAACAAAGATCACTGAAAACAGGAATGGAAACAGATAACCTTTGGTTTTCTAAACATAAAAAAAACAAGATGGAATATTTTATTAGAGATTTTCATGTGCAACGGATTAAAAACCATTTATTTTAACAATCGATCGTCAAGGTGATCCAAAATTCCGTGGAATCACCTTCCACTTCTTTATTGTTATTATTGCTTTGAGCTCTGCATTTTGGATCATTCCCAAATTGGTATTAATTACGCAAGCGTTGTTGCTGCCATTTATTTTGCCATTTCGAAATGCAATGTATTTGCGGTGTGAGTCAACTTGTTTTCGACGAGCCAGTCGCATTTAAGTGATTTTATTTGCATTCGGCTCGCGGAAAATCGAATGAATCGGAATTGATTGTTCCAAGAAGCGCGTTGCGAGGGCCGGAATAATGATTCACAAGCGGACTCGCATCTCTCAGTTAGCCATCCAACCATCCATCCAGACATCAGCACCCACCCACCCATCTTTGCACGCAGCTGCTCCCGAATCTTATCACGGGAAGAGGGTCCAAGGTCCAAGTAAATAATACCCATCCAGTAACGGCAATAGCAATAACAAATAGTACTAACAAGAAGGAGAACAAGAGTGAAAAGCTTGGAGCACCACGCACACTTGGACCCAACAACACATGACATAGTCGACGTTCGTCAGTCGGTCGTATGACGAGAGTCCCCCCGATTTCCCCTCGAAAAGTCTGCACTCAATCGCCTACGCATGAACACCGAAGACAGTGACAAATGCGGTCAATATAATAGATCTGCGATATTATAAGTACCAAATAGTTGGACCTTGAAATGGGATTATACTTTAAAAATCTCACAAAGTGGAATAATATATTTTACCACCTAAATGATAAGAAATCGTTTCCTATTTCTACGTATGTCTAGTAATTTTAATAATACTGAGCAATATATTTAACTGATAACCATTGGATTTTGTCTACTTTAAAAAGCAATGTACACACAATGTATTTTAATTTTAGATGTTAGCTTTGATTGCCATAAACCACGCAAGACTTTCCTAACTTGGGCCATGACTCACCGAGGAATTATAATATCTTTACCGCAGCTGTGCTCACCCAATACAATTATGGTTTTCACTATGTGATTTAAAGACAGCAATAGCAAAAATATTATGGCAAAAGTAAACTATAATAAACTGCTGATGAAAATGGCAACTAAAGCTGCAGGAAATTCGGGGGAGGGGCGGTAGACAGCCGATGACGTGGTGTTTATACGGTTACTGGATCTTGTGATCATTTTGTATGCGACGTCTTCTCGTGGAAGTGTTTATTCGGTATCTTATTCGGGGGCACACACACTCGAACGGAAATAATACACCCACAAGAATCAACAATTGGCCAATGGCAAGTTGTTTGTTTTGATGTTTTGATTCCAGATTATGGGCAAGGGAGGGATTATGGAGGGTGACTAAGGATTAAGAGCTTATCAAACTAGTTGTCCGTGATTAACCACGATAAACCCGTGGAACATGGCCCTGATGAACTATAATTACATCAATGACTAATAACAAGCCTATTTACATAAGCTTATGGAGTTTGTTTACCCAAATATCTTTTTAAACATGTATTATAATAATAGCTCTTAACTTGAAGTGCTAAGTAAGAACTTCTTTAAACTAGAAGGC